CGGCAGCAGGTGAGTTGGGGGTCCTGGCCATGCCCTCCCAGCCTACCATACCTCGATGATCCCCGTCCCACGGAAGGCTCTGTGCCACCCCTAGGTATGCATGGCACACAGGCTGAACAGTGTATGTTACGTTAAATATTTGGGGTTTGGTATGGTCAGGACCTGGGGACGGAGTGGGAGCTGAGCCTGTGGTTCACCTGGGTGCTTGGCACACTGTAGCAGAGCACCAGTGATGTTGGATTATTTGTTATCAGTGCTGGTGTTCATGTGTCAGGTGTTTTCCATAACTTTCACAGTTGCTTCCTCTCCATGAGCGAAGTGCAGGCCTCAGGGATGTCTGAGTGAGAGGAGACCAAAGGCCTAATATTGTTGCTGTTACAACTCAGCTTGTGTTGACTGTGTTGGACTTGGAATCAAGCTCCAACTTTTAGAATACAGCACATTTTAACATTACTCCACTCTGCAAATCTTAGATGTCGCTTCTTTTTACCACACTGGGGATATTTGTGGTATAATGTATTTTAAACCCAAAATGGATTCATGACCCACTCTGACAACATTCAGCCTGTTCACTTTCCAAACTGTCTATTGCATTTAACATCATCAAGACAGGCAGTCACATTGTGCCCAGAGGATGGGTCAGTGGTGGCCCTGCTTTCCGCTGGCTCCAGGTGGAAGGATGACTATCTCACTTTCCCCTCAACAGCTCAGATGTGACCTGGCACAATGAAGCACCTCCTTTCCAGGCAGTGCTCAACGACAGCGAGCCCACCTGGGTCTGGGAGGATGAGCAGGGCTTCTCAGCACTCCGGCACTCTGGTAGGACTGCGGCTTTGCACGTGTTTCACCTGCCCCATACCTCCCACCAGCAGGCAGTGCAGATAAAGTCTTCTGCACCAGCTTGTAGTTAGCACCCTGGCAATTGCAAGAGGGGATGACCACTCCCCCACTAACATATGGAGGAATGTCCATGTGATGACCTCGTTCCCCTCCAAGAGCCGGAGGAATCTTCATGGCTCATCCCATCAATGCAAGGACTTGCAAACCCTTTAGGCAGATGCACCATGCTGAAAGCCTGCACCCAGCATTAGCTGTTGGTAAGGCAAGATTTGCAGTCCTAGCTCTGAATATCAAGGCTGAATACCCTCATGTTTTACTTGACCATCATTTTCATTGTATTCACTGGAGCTATGACATGTTGAACAAACCAGCAACTTTGTTTGAAGGGTGAGGTTTGCCACTTTACTGGCAGGTAGTTAGAAAATTTCTAACTCAGAATTTATTTCTCTGATGCCCACAACAATTTTGGCATCAGTTGCAGCTTATGATGCTATTCAAGACGGTCTAGCATTTCAGGTTCAGCTGGGGAGGTTGTTTCCCTCCTGTGTCCCCAGCATGGAGGAGGTGGGTGCTATGTGAGGTTGGTGCAAGGCAGGTTGGCGCAGCATCAACTTTTCTCCCTTACAATCACTGCATACAAGCAGGAAAACGTAATTTCCTCCATTTTCAGAGGGCAGCATGATAAAATCTCAAAGATACAATAATTGAGTTAATTGTGGGGAAAGCTCCATCATTTGTCTGGGCGACTTCATTTTAAACGTAAATAAGTATATCATGTTACTCTTTGTTCTAAGATCACGGAAGTCATTAATCTGCCTTAACTTCTGCAACATTTCCTTTTAAAATTTTGTCTGGTACATTACGGTGTGGAAAATACCACTGGGAAAGATATGCATGTTATTTGCATCCCAAGGCAAAATAATAAGGCCTTTGTTTCTCTTCTAGTTGTAAACAAGGAATAGTTGCCCTTGGACTAAGATTGTATATTCAGTCTGGATCTGAAAATAGTTGTAAATTGCTTTTTTTTGCACGGGGCGTGGGGACCACTTGAAAAGCTTCTGGCAGGTCCTGGGCTCTGCTTGCAAATGCTCCTGTCTTTTAAGTACAATCTACGGCCATTTGCTTCCTTCTCTTTCCCCAGGTAAATGTGAATGTAAAGAGCAAGTTTTAGGGAATCCCAAGGTCTTCTGCGGGATGAAGTACACCTATGGTGAGTTGTGGGTGAGGGGGCTGTAAAGAGAGGTGCTGCAAGGCACTGCAAGAGTGTATGTAAAGCATGAGAGGTGTTACTGTGTGAACTGCTCCATCCTGGCAAACCCATACACTACTTAGTGTAAGGGCAGATCTCTGACCTTTCCAAAACATATAGCTATCATGGTGCCAGGTCAAAGCGGGTGAAGTGTCTTGCTCTGTTACCCATCTCTCTTCCTACCAAAACACCCTTGTACCAAAATCACAGAATTACAGAATAATCAGAGCTGGAAGGCACCCTTGAGGATCATCTAGTCCAACTCGTGGCCCGGCACAGGACAACCTAAATAATCACACCATGTACCTGAGAGCATTGTCCAAACGCCTCTTGAACTCTGTCAGGCTTGGTGCTGTGACCACTTCCCTGGGAAGCTGTTCTGGCGCCCAACCACCCTCTGGGTGAAGAGCCATTTTCTAATATCCAACCTAAACCTCCTCTGACACAACTTCAGATTATTCCCTCAGGTCCTGTCACAGTTTGCCAGACAGAAGGGGTCAGTGCCTGCCCCTCCACTTCCTTTCGTGAGGAAGTTGTATACAGCAATGAGATCTCCTCTTGAGGCTGAACAGACCAAGTGACCTCAGCCACTCCTCGCACAGCTTCCCCTCAAGGCACTTCACCTTCATGGGAGGACAAGAGCTAGAAGTGTCCCTGGGAGCTTTTCTAGGTCCAGGACAGACTGTAAAGTACTGTTACCAAAAATGGGTCACTGAAACTCTGTCTGTAGACCAAGTGCCCCAATCGTGGTCCAGAAATCACTATGTCTGAATGACACTGCATGTAAGGAGGAACAGTGATCGCCACAGAAGACACTAGATGGAGACAATGATTGGCAGCCACTGGGAACTTCCCCCTGTCAACAAAGCTCGGCTATTGCAATGGTATGATGTATATTGTCTATGTGTCTCTTGGATCTAAATGAATGAGAGGAGACACCTTGTTTCCCAAGACCTCTCTGGTGCCAGTGAACTGCCTCCTTCATACTGCAGCAGAGCAAGGAATGCTCTGTGCAGCACTCCCTTCCTTCACAAGGGGCTCTTGCACCTGTTTCATCTCACACTGAAGTTCAAAATGCACAGAGAGATAACCCATACCACTGCAGGCTGTGGAGCAACCCACATAGGGGAGTTCAAGGGGCTGCCACTTGTTGAAATACAGCCCTGGCTTAGTGAAACTAGGAAAAAATCTGATTCTGCTTTGCTTTCCTTCCCGGCCACAATAATGACTATGTTTAATCTTGCAGAAGATAAGAAATTTAAAAAAAAGTCACAAAACCCCCAAGTTCATAAATCTTATCTAAAGTGCACTCAGGCTTCCCACCCTTTCATCACTCAACATGCAAAGGTGTGAGCTAAACCAGGGAGATGGATAAATGATGGGACTCATCATGAGCTGCATGAGGCCATACTGTGAGATGGTGCCCTGAGCTTTCTAACATGTGGCGCTGAACAGAGCACCACCATATGGAGATATCTACCAGGGTAGGCATCAGCACCGTCGGGTGGAGGAACTGAGCCCTGAGTCTCTACCACACAAGGGCTCAGCAGTGGAATGCCAGGTGTAGGGAGTGTGCCTGTGGGTATCTGCGAGCTCAAAATACTCCATGATTTGCCCCAGGCCCCACCAACATCTCAGTCTCCTCCACTGTATTTGGATTTGACAGTTCTACAAAGCAGGAGGACTGGCAACATGATGAGATGAGGGCAGCTCCTCAAATCCCTGCCTATGGCCTTGGCTACCTGGGCCAAGGCCAGCAAAGCCTCCAGGTCCATCCCTAAATCCAAGGCTTTCCCACTGATTTCCAAAAGTGCCAAGGAACCCAATTTTTTTGCTGAGCTCTGGGGGAAAATGGGACCCACATAATCTGTGAAAATCAGGTCACTATACCTCTTCTGCTGCCCATGTGGCAGGTCCAGGGGCCTTGGTCAAACCAACTAGCAGTATTTCTGCCCATAGGTATGGGGATATATGTGCTTCCCTGGCAGCTGCATTGATCCATGGCTCCCTAGCAAGGAGCATTGGCCAAACTCTGTTGGAGTGGGATCCGGACCTGGAGTAACGATGAGTCTCAATATGAGTATGGTCGTTCTCCTTTATTCTTAGTGCTTACAAGATACATATAGATATTCACACAGAGTACACGAACACAGCGGATACATGATTGGTTTATTGCCCTTGTCCCAGTGTCCAGGGCAAACTTATGATTGGAGCAAGCAGGTGTCTGTCCACATTCCAGGATGTTCTCAGGAATTCCAGGGAACTTGTTGACACCGGACTCAGAGCCGGTCAGAGCCAGCTCTGCCAGGCAGAGCTTGCTCCTTATCAGCAGGTTCAAGGCTCAGTCACAGCTGCTGTAGGCCTTACACCACACTACAAGCTGGGTTGGCAGCTCCAAGGAAATCATGTCCCTTTTCGCATAGCCATTCCTCCACAAAACTCCACTGTAATGAAGCAGTTGTCCTCACTGCTTCACCCATACACCTGCATTTAGACCAGAAAAGAGACCACTGTAAATAGTTTGTATATTGTTGTTTTGAATTCCTGTCTTCCCAGTGATCAAGACAAAGATCTTGTCAGCTCATGACAAAGGCTCTCATGCAGAAGTCAATGTGAAGATCAAGAAAGTCTTGAAATCTACAAAGCTGAAGATCCTCCAAGGCAAGAGGACACTCTACCCTGAGTCCTGGACTAACAGAGGCTGCACTTGTCCCATCCTCAATCCTGGTAGGTTTGACTCCCTGAGCAGTATATCCCTACCACATTTACACAGACTTCATTCCAACACCTACGTTGCATCACTTGGATTCCAACAGCAATTTCCATCAAATTGTAATTCTGTAGAGGAAAACTTGGTTCGTCCTATAGACTTCGAAGCACACGATTCTCTTTATGTAGCAGTTTTACCAGTCTCAGTCTGTTTCCAGAGGGAAGGAGGGATTACATGACATAGCCTTCAAAGCTAAAGCTAATTTGAATCCATAAAAACACATTTAAATCTAATTTGAGTCATGATATTATACTGAAGTTCTAATGTAAATGTAAGGGAAGATGTCTATTTGAAAGTTACACTAATTTGCATCTATGAGATTTGGATGAAATTCTCTTATGCAGTGGGAGGAGAGCTCCACAGTTTTTTCTCATCTTTCACTGAAATGGAGTATAACCAATGGTGGTTCTGTCTCTGGTATGGAAAAAGACATGCAGATTCAGGGTTTTCTTCCACAGAGCAAAAGTAAGCTCCAGCTGACACACCTTTCTTTACAGCTCCAAGATAAACCAATAGTTACCAGCTAATTCAGATAAAGGGTTTTCTTTCCATAAGATGTATACACCACTTGGAAATCAGCGATCGAAGCATTGGCTTTGGTGCTGAGATGTTCCTTACACGTGCAGCACTAGGGACTTCCTTTGTGGGGAAAGGGCTGTCTGTGAGGCTGGATCATGCAGAAGGGTTATTCACTGAGATGTTTGCAGTCTGCTTTCTTCTCCACCAGAGTGACTGTCAGTTTGAAGGCAAGCTGTTGTGATAGTGCAGCTGTGGCTAGGAAGTCTTGTCATGTGCAAAGGTTAGATGAATCAGCAGGATTAGGCAGGGCTCTACTGTTTAAGTGCAGTCAGACTCTGGGTATTGGTAGAATGCCATAAATCTACAGTCAAATAGATATAGCTGGGTTTTTTTCTATATGCAATGGAAACACAAGCAAGAAAGCCCAGGTGCAGCTGCCTTAATATGATCCTGGGGGAATGCTATGGAAACTGTCTGAAACCAAGCATGCAGGGCAGCCCTGCAGCTGGCACTCAGCTTTGCCCCTCCACTAACTTCAGAGGGGCTTCACTCATTTTCCCAGACAGATGAAAAGACAGCAGTAGTCACAGAATCAATTAAGATCTCTTGGACAGAACAGAAGGGTGGAGATACAACTGTCTTTAGGGATAATCCAGGTGTCTGACATGTCAGGTGTTACTCCCTTGCCAGCTTTCATGATGTGCACTGCAAAGCTTGGTATTGTCTTGAAATGAAGCTGCTGGTCCCATGAGTACAAATTAGTCTCAGCCTTCATATTGAAAAGTTGTGAAGTTTGGTGCTAATAGGAAACTTGGAAACATCAATTGAGTGCATCTTTGAGCTTCAATAATTTCAAAGGGGGGAAAAAGGATTCCACATATTGTTTAAATGCTCATTATTTTCTTTAGCTACCCCATTCATTTCTGAGTGGTTGGCAATACAATATTAGCAGATTTAACCCTCTGTCAGAGTAAGAGTTTATGACCTCCAGATGAATGAACCAACAACAGCTGGATGAAAAGTCAGGCTGACATAAAACAACTTTCTGACATAAAGCTATAAAGTAGATCACATTTCTCCAAAACATAGAGGAGATCAAATATAAGACACGTTTTTATTCTGTTTCATGGAAAGTAAAGGGATACCAAAAGGAGAGTAAGTTCTTAAAGACTCCTGCAAGAAATAAAAACTCCAAGCATTTATCAACTCTCCATGGGCTGTTTTCAGATGATAAACGTGCTTAAGTTCCTGCAAGGGGATATTCACCACTCTTGCATATCTTCCCCTCCATACACACCCACAGAGGCAGATTGGACTTCTGGGGGCACACTGAGTTGAAAGGTTTAAAGGTCTCAGTCATTTGCAAGAGAACACAAGCCCTTCCCTTTCTTGGCTCTGCCAAGCACAGACACAGAGAAGCAGGATGCTGTCTGCCAGCAACGCAGGGTAAAATGCATAGCCTCAAGTCCTGGCTTGTGGCATCTCAGTCACTGGATTCATTTCAGTTTTACTCTTCTGTAGCATCAGGTTGAAAATCTAGAAAGCCCTACACAATCAGCATCTGCAGCAAAATTTGCTTGCTCTCAAGTGTGCATACCACATTTCTCTCTCACGAGAGATAAATTTAGGAGCCCTTGAAAGGTGATGTTTATAACAGCAAGACTGACATGGCCAAAATTAGTGTCTTGCAAAAGGTGATGCTGCCATACACATATCCTGTGTTTATTTGGCAGAAGAGAGGATGTGTGTGCCCAAAAAATCAGGTGATGACAAATTGTATTGAATTTAAAAAACACAACAACATGCTTGACCTTTTTCTAGGAGACAACATCCCTTTATTCTGAACTGGAAAATGAGAACCCAGGAAAACATTAGCAGATTCCCCACTGTGCCCAGGATGGAGTGGGATGACTGAGAGCACTGGGGGCCACCCATCTCCCCAGGCTAGTTTGCACCTCCATGTTGTGCTCCCCAGACCAGTGCAAAAAGGAAAGGGTACAGGAGGGCTCTAATGCTGGCTGTACCCTAAGTGTGCTGCAGTGGGATGCTGGCCCTGGCAGAGAGCTTCCTTATTATCCCCATTTATGGCACATTTATGGCCCATTTAGGTTGTTTGGATCTGTGGCAGTGTTTCTTTAGCTAAGTCAAGCCAAAGGCTTCACTCTGTCTCCCTGCTTAGCAGTTAATACCTGGTTCTAAGCACTTTTTTTGAGTCATGCCCTGAAAGCCAAGTGCAGACCTGGATGCCTGGGAGAGCCCTGCAGCAGGGCACTGCAGGGATACACTCCAGCCCTTTCTAGCTGCTTCTGGACACCAGATGAGGCTTCATCAGATCTTGCTGTCATGTCTCTAAAACATCTGGCCACAGCAGAAATTAGCGCAGCTCTTTCCAGGGTGGCTGCCACCCCTTCAGGCTCTTCTAGGATGCTTGTGCTGGCAAATCTACTGTTGCCTTTCATCACAGTCTGGTGTGCCTTTGTCTCCAAGGGGGCACTGGCCACTTTGAGCAATACACCAGGCACTGGGACATGCTGTACTGTTCCATTATTGGAATTTGATGAACTGGCCAATTTCCAGGCCCAGGTATATTCAGAAAGAGGTGAGGTAGATGTCTGCCGAATGAAGGTAAAAGCATAATGTAATATAAAAACACATAGTGCAGCCCCCACAGCTCAGCTTCCATTTACCCTTAGAAGCTAACGAAATCACACTTTGTATACTGCATCTCTCTGAAAGAAAGCCACAGGTGTTGTTTTTCCATAGATACAGATAGAGCTATAGATATACAGATACATGAAAATCAATATGTATCAATATTTCTTTGTATCAGTGTTTTTTTTTACCTGGGACTAAATATTCAGGCTAACTTTACAGCTCAATAGGGCTCTTAAGCATAGTACTGTGCAGACTCTGACAGCTTTGCTGGTTTGCAGGCTTGGAGTATCTTGTGGCAGGACACGAGGACGTCCGAACGGGCAGACTCATTGTCAACATGAAAAGTTTTGTCCATCAGTGGAAGTCAGCTCTCGGAAGAAAGGTCTTGGAGATTTTGAAAAGAGACTGCAACTAGAGGTGTGTGACTGCCTAGGGCGTTTCTTTGTGCACAAAATGCAACAGCCTTCACGGAGAGAAGACCTCTAGGGTGAAAACTGGAATGTAAGAAAATAGTGCCAAAACATGTAGCAAGGCATTCAGAGTTGTAGGCGCTGTCTAATTTAACCCTTTCTGGCCAATGTTCATTCACTTGACTGTAGCTTCCTTGTCGGGGCTCACCTGAGCCCAGCTCATCGTTATGTTGAGGGAAACAAAAGGAAGGGTGGATGCTCGTCTCGCTCCAGTGCAGTGTTGGAGCAACTCCTATGAAGCCACTAATTACCCAAGACTGAATTGCCACCATAGAAGAGCTACTGCTGAGAAGCCAAACGTCACTGCCAGTGCCACCAGCATGGATCCTGAGTGACTTCCAGAGGCTCCCAGAGGATGCTGTGGGGAAGGCAATGGCCACAGCATCAGGTAGGCAGTGGCAGCAGCATGGCAATGACAACCACTCTTTAGAAACACCCCCTCACAGGTTAGGACATGGCACCTCTTAAAGATAATTGGGTGCCACTTGCTTTTAACCTGTTCGCCCTGCTGATGGTTTGTGGGGGCTAGATTCTCTGCTGGTGCTGGTGAGGACAGAGCTGCTGGAGTGAATTGAATCCCTCTGCCTGGGCACAAGCGTGATGCAGCGCAGAGACCAACTCACCACCCACTGCACAGTTGCAGAGAAGAGCCAGTGCCAGAGGGTGCAGCATCTCTGAGCTTTTGTCCTTGAAGTGTTAAAAAATGAACCTAACCCTAGTGTAAATATTTCATTGTATAAAGCACTTTACTACCTGCCACTTCACAGTGCGGGAAGTCTAATTGTGTTGGGGAAAGAAGAGTTTGGAGGTGGCACATGAAAAAAAACCCTGAAACAGAAGCACTCCTGAAGATACCCCCCCCCAGTTGGACGGCGTTAACGGTATAAAGGGAATGGCCAGCCTGGCACTGGCCACTCAGAATATCTGAGGATGCAATCTGAAAGATAAAGTATTTGCACTGAAGTCCCAGCTTCAGACCAGCACTTGGACCCCGTGGGCAGGACTCCAGCAAGACTTCGCAAACAGTGTGAGGAAAAGAGACTTTGAGATAAAAATGCAACTGCCAGAGGAGAAAAACTCTGCAGGGAAAGGAGTGGATGTGGAAAATGGAAAGGACTTGCATTCACATATCATAAGCCAGTGATTCATGGTGGGCCTGGAGTTTATTTTATTTTTATGTTAGTATTTAAAGCTGAACGTTTTATTTGTTTTCTTCTGTGTTATTGTTTGCAATATATATGACCATTATACTTTCTCATTAACACCAGTTTGAAATATTGCACAGTTTACTGCAGTTTTCAGCACTAAAATATATCTTTTCTGTAAAGCATCTTTAAAGCACATTGCATAGAGTATATTTTGTTCATGAGTGTGAGGGCAAAGAAAAGGAAGACATACAACACCAGAAAAGTCACGAATCTATCAATCCACTTTCTGTATGTATTTTTCTTTCAAGGTCCTGTGGACTCACAGAAAAATGATACTATTTTGGTAATTTGTTTTTGTATCTCATGTATGTAATAAATATAAAATGATTTCAACATCTTCTTCTCCTGTTACTGCTTATGCCATTGGCAGCAGGGTTGTCATGCCTGCACTAAAGGCCACAGCAAAGATCACACTGGTTGAGGAGATGCTGCCATGGGGGATATTTTCCTCTCTAAGCCAGGGGTAACATAGTAAAAACAAAGGAGCATGATGTCTCACAAAAAGCCCATTTCACCTCTTAATTCTGGGAGGTTTATAAGCCCTTCTCATAAGAATGGGAATTGTACCTAAGTATTTTCAAAGCTGGCCAGATCCATGCCTCCACACAGGCTTGGTAGCCAAGCTGCAGAGCAGGTACTTATAAAAAGCAAGTGGAAGATGGCAGAAATCAGGCTTGCTCCCTAGATTTGAAACCGTAAAGGGAAAACAAAAGGCTGTGGAAAACCACTGCTGTAGCAAAGGTCTATAAAAACAGTGCAGAGTGAAGTCAAGCATCAGAAGGCAGTGGTCAGGGGGTCAAGGCGTAACCTGCAGCGTGAGCAGCAGCTCCCCGGGCGGGTGGTTAATCAGTGACTGCCAGGGCACCCTGCTGTGGCAGCACCCACCTCTCTGGAGGAGCAGAGGACAGGGAAAGGCTCTTCCTGTGGAAGCAGTTGGAGACTAAGTCTCCGATAGCTCCGTTTTGATCTGAAACTTTGTGGGTTTACCTGCTTGAGATATTTTTAGCTTCATTTTATTTTAATGCCATCAAAAATACATTTGCAGTGACTAGTTGATTCACGTGGTTTTGTGAAAGCTGGAGGATGCATGCCCACAGTCCCAGCCAGCTTGAGCACTGTAGGAAACCAGGATGGCTCTGGCAGCAGACACTGTTTATGGCACCTTGCCTGACTCCTGTCCCAACCCTGGAGCTGGGCACTGATGGTTTTACAGAGGAAAAGGATCAGCTTCCGTAGGGCAAATCTATCAATGAGAGATTTCTGTGAGGGGATTTTGGCTGGAAGAAGTGGATGAGCTGGATATCACGGAATCAATTAGGTTGTAAAAGACCTCTAAGATCATTGGGTCCAACCTCTGACTGATCACCTGTCACAGGCAGAGTGGGACCGTCAGACAAAATTTGTTAGAGAAGCTCTCCTGTTACTCTGTAAAAGACCATTTTTCTCTTTGGACCACCTCAACAGACACTAACCATGCCTACAGGCTCTGAGTGCAAGGATGCACAGGAGAGAAGCCACCTGCAGCCCCAGTCCCACCTGTCCCTGCAGCAGCAGCTGGCCAGGGATCCCCAGTGGCATGTTCCCTGCCTCCCAGGAGGTGCTACTGACAGGGTCCTCCTCCATCCCAGACTAAGCCCTGTTGGGCTGCAGAAGTGGTGTGCCCTCCTGCCACAGTGAGGGCCCAGAGAGGGCTTGGGGCTGTATGTGCATGGGGCCCGTCCGGTCAGCAGTTGCTCACCCCAGAAGAACACAGACTTCCAGTTACAGTGGAAAATTACAGGCGTGTTTAATATAGTTGCTCCAGCAGGCTAAATCTTCTGGGATATGACCATGTTGCTGAAAATGACTGAACATCTGGGACTACAAGCCTGCCTAAATGGAAAGCCGAGCTGGTATGGATAAACATAACAACTCGGGAACAAATAGCTGCAGTGTATTTTTTTTAACTGTTATTTTTAGTTATCATATTGACTTCAATATCAACACTGAATAGAATAAATATCTCAAAAATGTCCGGTGGCTGCTGCCCTAGCATCCAGAGGAGCTCTCTCTCTGATAAGGCAGGAGGAGATCAGCTGCCTGTGGGCCTTCTGGGCTGATGTGTTGATTTTTCGATGACGGTGTCTCCAAAGCATGCCCTTGCCCAGGGGTCACAGCTTCTTGCCGTTCTTTTCCCACAGTTCAGCACAGAAACTTCATGAATGCCTTTTATTGCTTCGAGGGAAGGCAATGAGGGCTCATCCAGGCTCACAGACTGGGAAATATACTATATATGGGAAACTTGTTGGCATATTAAAAATGTCGGCACGGCCAAGAGGCTGCAGCAGGGATCAGGAGAGCCATTTTCTGTGTCCAGCCCATCTCTTCTCTTCTCCATCACTCTGATGGGTCCGTTGGAGTACAAATAACACTGGGCTGCTTGCAGATGTGATGGACTCACGAGTGTCATGTGTCCACAGGTGTGATGCACTCATGGATACACTTAAGCCCAACCAATGCATGTAGCCCAGAAAAGTTTCATCACGCCCAAGTCTTGTTCCCTGCAAGGCAATATGCAGTTCAAGGCATCTCCAAGTTCTACCTGGACACTTTCTCAGCTGTAGAAGATGTGTAAAAGAAGATTGTCAGGCTGCTGCTGAGGTTGTGAGTGTGGGTACAGGTGTGTGTATGTGCCTCCCCATGGGATTGCTCACTGCTTTATTTCCCAGATGGTGTTTTCTCTGCTCATGTCTCTGAGCTCCCCCATACCAGGCAGGTTGCTCATACTGATGGTATTTCTTTCTTTGAACTCTTCTCTCAGACTTCTACATAGACATTAAATGCACTTATTGAGCACAGGGCATGGATTTTAAGCCATCAGGAAAACAAGGCTGGCAAAAAGCCCTCAGATCTGCATGAAAATTCCTGAGAATAAAGTTGCTTCCTAAACCCACCATTAGTGAAATTTCCTTGAACTGACTTACTGTGGACATGGATATGCACCCCTTTCAGCAGGTGCAAAATGCAGCCCAGCTCCAGGCTCAGGACACATGCTGAGGTACAGAAACACATGAAAACCTAATCAAAACCAAACCACCATCCATTAGGCTGGCATTGGAGGAGGTCCAAAGACCTGGAGGAAAAAAGCATTCCTCACAGTATTTCCCATGGCTGATTCACGCATGTGATCTCTATTTGGATCAGTAGGAGATAGTTCTAACATTATAACCTTAAGATGTATACCCATAAAAAATATGGTTGCTCACTGTCTGCTCTTCATCAGAGCTTTCCTTCATTTGCATCAGATGCAACTCTCATCTGGACTTTGTGCATTTGTGAAGCCTCTGTGTGGTCAAATCTCGTGCATAATCTCACCTTGGGCTTTATCTGAATAACTCCTGTAGGAGAGAAGAAAACATTATTTCAGGTACACAAACAAGGACTAGAGATTCACCGCACTCACTGTGAGGTGCCCATGGCAGGTGGCAGTCATGACAGAATCCCACAGTCCCCCAAGGGTTGCAGAAGAGACCTGAGAGGACCATTACAGGCACCCAACTGGGCCTTCAGGGGCAGGTCAGGGAGCAGGAAGACGCAGGAAGATACATATCTGTATCTGGAGGAGCACCACGATGCTCTTGGCAGTAGAGCAGGGGATTAAACCCATGCTCCATAGAGGCAGGGAAGTTAAACAGAACAGAGGTCCAAGCAGAGACACTGCCACCTCTACAGCTGTGGGCACATACAGGGCCAAGAGACCCCACTTATGGGAGATGAGGAAGGGTCAGCATTGGCCTCTTGCTGGGCATGGCTGCCCAGACCTGATCAGCCCCTTCCCCCAGAGAGCTGCAACAAGGGGTTGTTTCTTGACCTGCAAAGCAGGTCCTCAAAAAGTCCCCCAGAGCTGTTGGTGTGACTGGATCAGGGAGGCTGATTCGAGGGAGCAAGAGCCTGGTCATGATGATGCATACAGCTGGCAGTTGGCAAAGGGGGTTGAAAATGCTCACGTGGAGCTGTGTGTGCAAACTAAACATGCCCAGAGCCACTCTGCAGAGCAAACAACCCTCATCTGTGCCATCAAAAACCTCTGACACACACTCTGGGAGGAGCACTGGTCCTTGGCAGCCCCCAGGGCCAGGGGGTTGGAAGGGGATGAAGAGGTACAGGGCAGGGCTGTGACAGGAGCCATGCTAACAACTCTGGCAATACGGATCATCACCTTACCATGCCCGGAAAATTTCCTGAAAACTG